GAGTGGACGGTGAGGTGGATTGAGAACTGGCTGGATGGCAGAGCTCACAGGGCTGTGAGCAGTGGCACAAAGTCTAGCTGGAGGCCTGTAGCTAGTGGTGTTCCCCCAGGGGTCAGTGCTGGGCCCAGTCTTGTTCCATGTATTCATCGATGACCTGGAGGAAGGCACAGAGTGCACCCTCAGCAGGTTTGCTGATGATACAAGACACCAGAGGGCTGGGCTGCCATTCGGAGAGACCTGGACAGGCTGGAGAGTTGGGTGCAGAAGAACCTCCTGAAGATCAACAAAGGCACGTGCAGGATCCTGCACCCAGGGAGGACTAACCCCATGCACCAATGCAGGCTGGGGGTTGACCTACTGGAAAACAGCTCTGCAGAGAAGGACCTGGCAGTCCTGCTCATCAACAAGTTGACCATGAGGCAGCAGTGTGCCCTTGTGGCCAAGAAGGCCAATGGTCTCCTGGGCTGCATGAGGCAGAGTGTGGCCAGCAGGTCGAGGGAGGTGATCCTGGTCCTCTCCTCAGCCCTGGGGAGGCCTCACCTGGAGGACTGTGTCCAGTTCTGGGCTCCCCAGTCCAAGAGAGACACGGCGCTCCTGGAGAGAGTCCAGCGGAGGGCTGCAAAAATGATGAGGGGACTGGAGCATCTCTCCTCTGAAGAAAGACTGCAAGAGCTGGGCCTGTTTAGCCTGGAGAAGAGAAGACTGAGGAGGGGATTGCATCAATGTGTATAATTATCTGACGGGAGGATGTCAAGAGGATGGGTCCAGACTCTTCTCGGTGCCCAGCAACAGGACGAGAGGCAAAGGGCACAAGCAGTTCCATCTGAAACTGAGGAAAAGCTTCTTTCCTGTGAGGGTGACAGAGTACTGGCACAAGTTGCCTAGAGAGGCTATGGAGTCTCCTTCCCTAGAGATATTCACAACCTGCCTGGAGGTGATCCTGGGCAATGTGCTCTAGAGGACCCTGCCTGAGCAGGGGGGTTGGACTAGATGATCTCCAGAGGTCCATTCCAACCTCAATCATTCTGTGATTCTAGGATTCTGTGAAATATTACTAGAAATAAGAAACTGGCAAGATAAAACTACCTAACACAAAGAAATTGCCTCACTACAAAAAACTACCTAAATACAAATAAATTATTTACATGTGCCTAGTATTAGAAGAGGAAAAAAAAGGAAGGATCTGAAAAAAAACAGGAAGTTTACACTCTTTTCATGCATGATGGTGAACAACACACAGTCAGAGAACCTTTCTCCTCAGGATTTGGTCTCAAGTATGAGAGACACAACTTATCCAGATGCTCCCCATCAATTGATATCCCCATCAATACTGCTAGCAGAAGGGTCCAACTTTTTTTCCACTTTAGGCACCTATTTCCAGAGCAAAATCTATATATTAAAAGTTATTAGGAAAAGAAAACATTATTTTTTAAATTAGCATCCAGAAACATATGCTAAACGCAGGAAAAAAAGTCAAAAGTTTTTCTGTGTAGAATTACTACATAGAAACAATGTTGACATTTATGTTTGCCACCTCTTCCTTTCCTGAGTCTATTCTTGCCATACATTTTCCATAATCCTTCCTGTCTCTTTGGCTTTGTCCCCTTCCAAACCTGGGGAACTGCTCTATTAGCTGGGCAAACAATTCTTCAAGTTCAAGGTGAAAAGTCTGCCCTTTGCAGTACTATTTCTTCCCTCCATTCTTACCCCAGCTCTAGAACACCATTTCTGTGTTGGGAAGCACAGTGCTAAAGATCCAAAAGACATGTTACCTTCCTTTCATGTCTCTTCCTTCCAATTCAATGCCACCAACATGCCTGTTAGCTTTTTTTAGTACTGAGAGGAAGGACTGACAGAACAAGGCATAGCAAGGAGGGAGAGAGTATTACCAAATAGATTGATAGTTCTCCTCATTCTCTCTCTTCTGTGCTATGGGGAGAGATGGATGCAGTCTGGAGAACAGGACTTAAGAGGAGAGGTAGTGCTGAGGGTCTAGGGAGGTGCGGGGGTACAACACAGAACACAGTCCACATTGCAGCATTGTTTCTCTCTCCTCTCATCACACTGACTGTCCCCTGGACCTGCAGAACTAAAGATGAAATACAGAGAGCCAGCAGCAGCTGCTCACTGCTTGGCAACTACTGATTTACTTCACCAATAAAAATATGAAATATAAGAATGACACGAGGGCCATGTGTGCAAAATACTCCAGAACCATAGCCATGCAAGATAACAGGGGCTGAAAGCGTACACAGTTGTGAAGTTAAAAAGTCCATCTGAAAACAACATACACGTTTTAATTTATGAATGGACCCAGACTAGCAAGATAATGAAATTAGTCACAGTATGTTATGCCAGTTCTTCCTGCAGGGATAAACAAGAATATGCATATACACTGAGAGATATGTGCTTGATGCATTAAAATAAATAACATTAGAAAGTAGTTCATTTTGTCTCTTCATTTTTGTTTAAATTTCCTTTGCAAATATATTTCGTCTTATTATTTTTATCATCCTCATATAGCCACTTTTTTATAGTCTTAGCCATACATTTTAAGGAGTTGTGCTGGGCCAAGACTTTACATAGCTACAGTTGTCACGATCAATGTGACAAAAAAATAGGAAAAATATCTTATCATCCCTGCATGTAAGCACAGCAAAACTTGCCATGTGGATATCTGATCCCATACCACTGGCTTGCTCCCTGTGCAATTTCTATGATATAGTGCACAACTTTCATTAACGTTACATAAAAAAGCAGAGTGTTCTCTAAAGTAAAATCTGTTCCAGTAAGGTATAATAGGAAAAAAGAAATTCTCAGGAGCTAGTATGCAAAATCTGCAGTATTGGTGCAAGCACTACCTGGCTCTCTTTTGTGAAATAAAAGGTCATAGTTTTGCTGGTATCCACTGAGAGCAATGATGGAGAGGACATATGATTGCTAGTTTTCGTGTCAATTTGCTTTTTTTTTTCCTAACTCTAATTCTCTAATCAAAAATTATTAATAAATACATATCAAAGAAACAATTCCTACCCTTTGAAGAAAATCAGTGTAAGGATATATTACTAGGAGAGACAATCCTACAGTGGTATATTTTTGTCTCAGGCTTTCCAGACCTTTTTAAAGAAAAATTACAAAGAAGAACCTAAAATTATTTTTAAAAGCAAATAATTCTTCAAAAAAACACATTTCTATGTCTTTTTTAACTTTAGGTTATCAAATTAATACTGTTTAAATTATATAGATTGAAGGTAGTTTTCTTGACTGCCTATTTTTCTGAATCAGACTTCAAAAGTATCTCACCTCCCAGGACCATACCAGCTTGACAGCACTTCCTCAAGCGACATGCTGGACAGTTCTTCCTACGAATTTTATCAACTATACAGTCATTTCTTCCAGCACATAAATAGTTATGCTGCCCTATAAGCAAAAGAAACACAGGATTAATATGTTTTTTAACATGACTAAATAATATAAATGATCCAAAAATAAAAGAGGATTTAAATCGAAGTGTACCAGACCGATTAAAGGTGTCCTTCACTTTTATGTTAACTTTTAAATAACTATCTGTCACTATTTCTAAGACTGACATTCCCAATGCATATAACTTCAAAATAACTGCAAACAATATGAACCGCTTAAATTATTGTACTATCAATATTTCTAACATAAATCAAGCAGGAGGACAGATTGATTTGTTTTTTCCAACCTTATTTCTATTTTCATGTAAGTTATTGTTGCTGCTTTTAAAGTAACTAAGTAAATTTTCCTTTGATGAGGCGTTTCCTACAAAAAATAAACAAGAAACTGGGGGACAAAGCAGTGCAGAAAAGAGCCCTTTTAACAGACCAAAAACAGACTAAATTACCTCTGATGGAGAAGCAACTTTGCACTAGTACCCCACACACCAACACAGCCAACAAGGGCAAACAGAAGGTGGTAACTTTTTGGTTTAGGTTCAGTCTTAGGAATCACAGGCTTGGCAGCTCCAGTTTATTGATGAATTCTGAAGGACTCAGAGAGTTAGGAAGAGGTTGGCATTAGGTTGAGAAAGCATCTCAAAATTTCCAGTATTTCATTATCCTTCTTCACCTTTTTTAAATGGATCATCTAAATCTTCCTTGCTTGAAATTTAACTCATTATTTCTCGTTCTGTCTATCAGACTACTCTCTTCTTCCTTACAGCAACATATTACAGATTTATCAATCTTCTGTCCTCTGTGCTAAAGAAACCTAATTTATTTAGCCTTTTTACATAGTTTCCATGTTTTCTAGACTTCGGATTGTTCATATATTCCACAATGCGTTGCATATTTCTTGAAAAGTAGCTTCCAAAAAGATGCAGCAGTCTAGCCCAAGCTAAATCGGTGTTCATTACAATGAAAAAAATTATTTTTGTAAATTATGAGCAACAATGAAAAAGTTATTAGGAACAACATCATTGGAATAGCAAAACAAGCTCCAAGGGAAAATTCTCAGTGCACAAAAAGCGTTCAAAAAAAACCGTTAGAGCAAGAAAGACACAAATAGATAATTTAATTTCCATAAATTGTTATTTTCTGTAACATAAGGCTTATGCTTTTTTCCTAGATGTTGAAGTTATTTCTTTACCTCAGCAAAAAAAGTTTAATTTTCAGGAAAAAATAACATTTAAGTCAAAACTAAAAGCCATACTTATCTCAAAATCAGGATTTATCTCCTGTGTATTGAAAAGTGAATCTTTTTAATGAAATTAGCTTCTAGTAGTGCTAAAAAATAAAATTCAGCTGATGTTCTCACATTCTTTTGATGACAAACTTAGATGAAATTTCCAAATTTCACTTGAAGAGAATGAAAAAGTATACTTTTATGCTTCGGTATGACAATGATCACTCCTGTGATTCATTTTAATTTTGAACAAGTAAATCTAGCTATAGTTAAAAGAAATCAAACCAGATCTTCACACAACCTTTCAAATTAAGTCCAGGTTTATCCTCTAAGGCTTAATTTTAAAATCCTTCTTGCTTGTGCACATCATCCTCTATTCATTTCTATATTTTCAGTTTCTTACTGGTACCTAGCATGAAAGCACGAAATATTTAAAATTAAAAAATATGTATTTTGAGAGCAATAAAATAGACTGAAAAAGTGTGGATAAACCACAAGAATTATCAATATCATGGGTGCTTCCTTTCTATTATGGACTTCCAAATAAAACAAACCTCAATAGCACAGCTTTCGCATTCGTATTTACTTTTAGATTAGTATTACCCAGAGTTAGTCATCTGATGTCAAGTATATGTAAACAAGTCCAAAATCAGTATTTTACTCAGCTGCTGTTATTCAGTTTTCTTTATAACCAAATTTAGTCCTCTCTCCGCACATGATAAAATGAGCAACTGTTCCCCAATAACTTTTCCACATAGGAAAAAGATAAACTGAAAATGAATCCTCTGAAAAAATGCAGGAGAAAGAGGAATGTTCTAACAAAAAGAACCAGTGCTAAACCATTTAAATTGGAATATGTTTGTCTCTATGCCTTTTTTTTTTTTTTAAGATAATTAATGTACTTCTTACCCACGGTTTTAAGAACAACTTGTTTGGGCGTTTTTTGTCTTCTGTTTCCCGAAATGACGGGGAAATACAAGCACTTGTCTCAAGTATTGCCTGGCATTTAAAAAGTATTTACTAATGCAGTAAATCAGAAGACATTACTAAATCATCTCTTTCACTTTCTCCCATTACTTCTAATCTTGGACTCCTTCACTGCAGGAAATATTACCAAAAGTAATCCCAAAATATAATTCTTTCTTGCTTTTGGCAGCAGACTAGGAAACAAAACACTTATTTTGAACTTCTTCCTTGAGATTATGTGTAGTTTTTCCTTGATCTCTTGCTTTGTGTTTATTAGCTACAAAAGCACTGTCTGTTTTGATAGGAGGCAGTTTTAAGAGTCTGTCAGTTAACACAGACTAACATGAAGCAAGTCACACTCTCTCTGCATAATGGTATTCTGATGCTTTATGGCTGTTAATTGCAAAGGAACACATGAAGGAAGTGTAAATTGGGAGTTAGGTGTTGGGGTTCTTTTTTTCTTTTTTTTTGTGCCCAAGTAATTATCTCTTCTGGACCCCTTTTTTGGGAACCCTTTGAGTCCATGCATTGTCTTAGTCCATGTAGCCCATGTCCACTGCAAGACCAAAAAATGGACTATGTCCAATATCTGCCAATATGGCACATGATTGAGAATATGGAGAAAATGATAAGAAAAAATACCAAAATGAAACAAAGCAGGAGTCATAAAATCAATAAGGCCAATAATAGTAATAATCATACGGCAAAATACTGGACAGAGGAGAGAGATGCTGATGATAGTAGTAAATCAGCAGGTATTCATGTTCTTGAGGAATAGGTACCTCATATCTAGAGCCGACCCTTTTTTTGTGAATGTAAAAAGTATGATATACAGCCTTATGCATCTCACTGGCTAACTTGTATTCTAAATATCAAGTCAGGAAGGAGCAGGAACAATTCCGCAAAAAATAAAATAAGAGAACATATAAGAATATGAACATGAATATGAAGAAAATTCTCTTATGAATGCAGCAAATATATTTATGAAATGAGCAATGACCACCTTCTCCAATGCTTTAAATGTCACTTGAGAAATGTTACTTTAAAATAGAAAATGGCTAAAACAAATGATAAATTTATATATGCTTTCTTTGCTCTTAATGTTTACAAAATCCAAGTTGCTTTAGCAGTTCCACTAGTCCCTCTGTTCTTTGTACCACGATCATAAGAAATGAGCCAAGATACTTGAAACTAGATGCGATAAAGTTATTCCTGCTTCTACTCTTCTAATATTCACATTTTAAGATTTCATCTGTTACTTACATGTTCTAGATTCTCTTAGTATAGCATTTTTCTTAACCTCCACCACACTCCATCTATGCTAGCAAAGGCAGAAATCCTAATGCAAAAAAAGCCACCACAATTTTAAGCATTGTGTTGATTAATACTATATTGGGCAGGTTTATATGAGAAAGTGGTTAAAATGCTAATGGTCTGCATACACAAACATGCTCACAATTTTTACTTCTGGTAAAGTGGCACTGATGGTGCTGCAGTACTCAAGAAATTTTAATCCAAATAATGCCGGAAGCAGCACCTACGGTGTCTTTCGAAACTGCACTACTAACTTAGCTTACCGATATACTGTAAAGTCACTTACTTACGATCACTGTAGGGAATTAATGAATTGCCAAGATTTTGCAGATAAGCAAAATATCAAAAATGGAAAGCTTTACCTGCACCAAGGGTATCAACTACAGGCAGTTAGTTACTTGTGCAAGTGCATCTGTGCTGAACTGCTGCCATTCTGCACCAAAACAATACACTTGTTTGCAAACGCTCAGTTCCTCCTGAATGTAAATAAAAGTACTTTTTCATTTTTTTTCCTCTTTCTTGCATAACTGGTTCTCTCACTTTATATCACTCTTAATTGGCAATTATATATACCTTCCAGTGTCATCTTATGTTTCCCCTGCTACCCTGCCCCAAGAGCTAGCCTACTGGTTCTGCTCATTAATTTACTCCCTATATGCTCTTTACCTCTCTGTTCCATAAGAACTGAATTAATAGGTTTAAAACAAGCAAGGAATAACTTTTGCCCCACAATTAAACTTACAACCCCTTGCCAGGGAATCTCATGGAAGCCAAAAATATTGTTTTCAAACAAAACAAAGTCTCAAAACAAGTCAAATGAAAAATAGGTTCATCCATCTGTATTTAAAAAAAAAATGGTGCAAATGTAGATTCCATACATCTCCAATCATGTTCTTTACTTATCTAATATGCATTTCACTTCTGTATTAACATTTGCTCCAAAAATGGAGAAGCCACTGAAGTGAGAATTAGTTTCTAACCACTTAACAATAAACCACATCCCCCATGGATCTTACCATGATCTTTGCTTTAACCCGCTACTCAAAAAATTTTACTCACTATGTCAGCCTCAGAGACCTGATTTGGCAGCAACAGTGCTAGCAAACTTCACATATTTACAGCAGTAGACCCTTCTTAGAACATGGACTTTGAACTGTTATTGCATAAAAACGTAGCTAATGAAAGTGAGAGATGGTCCTTTTTAGAAAATAGCCTAATAGTTAGTGGATGATTCACATTTAATTTCCTGCTTTGTCCACTGAAATTGAAATTCACATTTCCAAACTCTTAAGCAGGTGCCCTGACTACCACTCCATAGTCTCTGCTGGTATAGAGACCTACTACTGATGCAGGTCTGCTTCACAGCAAAGAATTCAGGATTCAATGCACCACAGAGGGCAAAGAGCGGGTGGGACAGTAACTTGGGAATATGCCCTATCGTAGACTCATTTTCTAGATGAAATAATCCGGAATTCCTTCCTTGACGGTGATAT